AATATTAATATTCACAAGTTATGTCTTCTTTCTTCTTTTCTTGGTTACTCTAATGTCTCAACAAATTTATTGATCTTAAAAAACAAAACAGTTTTAGGTTTCCTTGATTTAATATATTTTTCCATGTTTTCAGCTTTGTTGACTTGAGCTTTATATTTACTTTCATTTTTCTACTCATTTTTGATTAAATTTGCTTTCCTTTCTTTAGTTTCTTAAGGTGAAAAGTCAGGTTATTGATTTTAGCAGGAGGAGTAAGGGGAAATGTGCATACTTCAGCTTAACCAGAACTGGAAAACGTATAAATTTTTGATAGTTTTCATTTATCAATGTTTAAAATGTTTAATACATTACTAATACAATGGTGCATATTTATATTTTATAAAACATATACATAATTATTGCTGGGTTTTGTATCCTTATTGTCCACAATAGAGAGCCTGATATGAGAGTTTCCATGTGAATAGCTTATTTGGAAAGTGGTTTCAGTGAGTCAGAATGAGAAAAATTAGTGGTGAAACAAGGAAAGAGGAAATTTTAATCAAAGATATGTTATTAAATTGGACACTACTACAGGCAAGTGGTGTTTGATCCTATTGGATCAACATTGGTATCCATTTTTGTTCAGATGAATAACTGCCACCTCCAAGAAAGAAGGTTGCAGTGCATTCAGCATGGAACCAAGTAGGTAGATGATGTCCTTGAAGGAGGGTGCAGAATTGAGGACACAACATCAGATGTTGACCTTGAAAAGTTATACCTGCAGCAGTGGCAGTAGATTGATCATCTTGGGCAATAGAGAACTGTGCTGTTGAGCTCTTGCTTAGTTAGGCTCAATTTCTGAAACCATGACAATTCATGAATCCATGTGCCAGAACTAAGATAACTGAAGAGAGAAGCTGTTTGACATTCATGACATGAATCATTAGATCCACTTGGTGGTTGAGTGCCTTCTCTACAGTCAATTCTCTTGGATGGCCATTAATATGAGGTATAGGGATGCATATGATATGTTTCTATTCCTATAGTTCCATCCACATACTTCTTATCCAGACTTTCTTATTTTTCTATTTACAATCCTTCTCCTTTCAAGACTCTGACATGCCAGGCAAGTTAATTTACACAGTCCAGGACACAATCTCAGATCACTACTCCCTCCATGCAAAGTGAAATAGATGTACTGCTCACAGCTCTGCCAACTGGGAGTCTCCCCTTCAACACTATTCTTTAGGGCTACTCCAACTGAGACTGAAGTGTAGTGGCAGTTCATTTACACTTATCATTAATATTTAATGCTGACATCTGTGCACTGAGCTTGATATATTTCTCTTCCATTAGTTGATTGTAGATCGCTTCCTACCCCATGATTATAGGACTGTTTTGAGAGAGGGGCATCATTGCAGCAATGGTTGATGCTATGGGGGTTTTGTGTAATTTGCTGATTTGTATTGGACTTCTCAGGCTGGATCTCAACTATAGCATTTTCTTCCTTTTTTTTTTGAGTTGGAGTCTCACTGTCCCCCAGACTGGAGTGCAGTGGCCGCTCCCGGCCACTGCAGCCTCGACCTGCTGGGCTCCGACGATCCTTCCACCTCAGCCTTCCAAGTAGCTGGAACTACGGGCGCGCACTACCACGACCGGCTAATTTTTTGATTTATTGTAGAGATGAGGTCTCATCAAGTTGTCCAGGCAGGTCTTGAACTGTAGCATTTTCATCATGTGGTGGATTGCTGTTTAAGTCTCTCTGATCATATTACTGGATGAATGTATAGCTTATGGTGGGAGGCTTCTGTTATATAGTCACGTACTGTCTTTTGATTAGGCACTCTGTATCTACTAAACTTTAATAGCTTACAAGGAGTTGTTTTCTTAAATGGCAAGGAGCCAGCAGATATGGTTTTTTTTCAGAATCTCAAAATTTTGTGTTGTAATTCCCATATGAGGGCTTGGAAGTGACTATATACTACATCCTTATCCAACATAAATACTTGAAGCATTGTCAGATACACTGAGTCATATGGCCTGAGTAGCTGGGAAACTTGCACTGAAGATCTGCAAACTTGGTCCCAACCATGATTTTCCACCGCAGCTGCTAACATTATACTTTGGCTTGCAATGTCACATCACTTCATACAAAATGATAAGTCAGCTGTCCATACAGCTGGAGATGGCATACTATTTATAAGGTATTGCCATAGATTTATGTCAGATAGGACTGACTCTACACTGACCCTGTTTTCCATGATGGTAATGATATTTATCCTATCCCTGAGGTTTTGTGCTGCTACCTGGGCCCTAATATTCTGAAATCTTATCATCTCCATTGAAATATAGTTTACGGCTGGGCTCGGTGGCTCAGCCTGTAATCCCGTGCTTTGAGAGGCAGAGGTGAGTGAATTGCCTGAGCCCACGGGTTCGAGACCCGCCTGGGCAACTTGGCGAGACCTCATCTCTACAATAAATAAAAAATGTGGTCGTGCGCACCTGTAGTTCCAGCTACTTGGAAGGCTGAGGCGGAAGGATCGCCAGAGACCAGCAGGTCGAGGCTGCAGTGGCCGGGAACGTGCCACTGCACTCCAGTCTGGGCAACAGAGTGAGACTCCAACTCAAAAAAAAAAAAAAAAGAAAGAAAGAAATATAGTTTACATCCAATCATGGTTTGCAGAGGAGAGTCAACATTGAGCTTTTCAAAAATGTCAGTGATTCTTCTCACCAACACATGCCTTAATATCATAATGTCTTCTCTGTCCTTCCAGGAAAAATAGTTCAGAGATAAGTCATCTTGTCTCACACAATAAATCATTTTGAATACTTCTCATTCCTTTTGACCTTCTCACCAATTCCTCAGTCTTTTGGCAAGGAGGTTATGGTGGGCTGTTGTACAAGCTTAAAGAAGTCATCTCAGCAGCATATTAAGCCAGCTCCTGGTCACTCAACTCTTGAGCCACAGGTATGTGACTCCATGCCAATAAGTTCTACCCTATAATCACTTATATGAAGGGAGACCAAAGAAACTGTAATTCTCCTTTTGGAGAACAGGCACCTTGTAATATAGATTTCCTTAGGTAGGTAAGTGTTTTAGGAACCCATCAACATCAGTGTACCAGCTAGCATTGGTGTGAGAGGCTGCATTCAGTTTCAGTTTGAACTTTTTTTGGAAGATTCTTTCAACATGTTTGCCCACTTCATGAGTGATTTACAAGTGCACCTGCTCTACTGCAGAGTGTTCAGCAGTTTTTGACCAAAAACAACATTCCCCCGATCTCACCCCAAGAGACTTGTTCCCCTGGATGAAAAAAACCATTAAAGAAAAATGTTTTGTCCATGTGGAAGAGGTGAAATAAGAAAACATCAGAAGCACCAAAAGTCATCAAAATTGAGTTCAAAAACAGTTTTGATAAGTGAAAAAAGCATCTCTATGGGTATATTGCATCAAACGGAGAGTACATTGAAGGTGACTGAAGTTTAAACATGTAACAATACACAATTTTTATAACTAAATTTTTGGGGGTCCCCCTCGTATTCTACACCATTTCCTTGCTTGTTTTCCATCCTAAAAATCCACTCCTATATATATTATCCTAGCTCATGCTAGTATTTGGTAGTTCCTGTAGTTCCTTCTGAATATAAGGTATTTCCCACCTGTTTAGAGACTATATCTTGTTCTTTATGTGGTGAAAATATCTTATCCTTGTCATGAGTTGGAAACAATAAAAAATGTCAGTGCTGGATGTTAATACAAGCAATTTCTTTTGAGATAATTGTTTTAGAAGAGGTTATTGCCTTGTCTCCAGAAACAGGGAGGCTGCTCTCCAACAGGATGAATTTAAGAAGCTGCTTCTGCCAGTCTGGGGGTTCAGGAAATTGTAGGTATTCAAGATTCTCACACTCATAGCTATTTCAGGTCTCAGGGTTATACTCTTTTTTTATCAGGAGATTAGACAGATAGATAGATACATAGATACATGCACGCGCGCGCACACACACAGAGAGATACATAGAGGGACCTGCAAATATTGTACATGAAGTTTCCTTGCAGTTCTACAGTCCTGGGACTGTATTCAGCACTCTGCTTTACAACTAGAGGAGACGAGGGCCTTTTTAATCTAATGGGACAGACAGAATGACAGATCAGGCTTTTACATCAGATACAAAAACCTATGTTGGAGATTCAGCTTAGGGCAATCTTAGAGTTGCCTTAACAGCTACCTAAGCTGGAAGGGACCTGAGTTCATACTGAGTTGGAAGCCAAATTTGTCCACTTCACACCCCAAAAGCCATTCAATAACCCATTCAAAGAGGGGAATAGTTGCATGTTTGAGTCATACCTTTCTCACTTCAATAAATACCATGAGAGAAATTACATCATCTCAAGAGGATCAGATGTCACTGAAGTAACATCTCCTTTCTATAGCATCTAAACTATATCCTTGTAGCAGAACTTTAAACCACAGATCACTTGCTCTCCGGACTCACAATACTGAATGAATGAATGCAGTAATAAAGAAGATATAAGAACCAGGAGGTAGAGAGAGTTCCACTGAAAACTGAAGGTGAGTAATAGAATCAGAGGGACACAGTATTATAGAGTAAATAAAGTGTGTTTTGGTCAAGGTATAAATTTCACATAGAGTGTGGTGAAGGTCTACTGTCAATGCCATGAGGAAGGTATGGGGATGGATAGAGGCTGTACATCCAAGAAGGCTTGGTCTTCATTAGGCAGGGTCCAGAGACCATTTTGTGGGATATGCACCTTATAAAATTTGGTAGGTTTTCTTTTAAAATAATACAAGATCAACATGAAAGTAAATACTTAAAAAAAACTATACGACAATTTCTAACAAGTGTTAAAACAATGGCAATTACAAGCAAAAATTACAAATTATATATATATTTATATGTATCTGTTTTTAAATTCACATTTATATGTATATATTTTTTAGTTCATAGAAACATCTTATGTAGCTGCATAATCTGAAGTAGAATGATGTGAACATCCAAGGTGAAGAGTATAATGGTTTTATTGCAAATCGAAACACCAAACTTTTGCAATTTTTACATAAACATGTAGCCATGTAACACATAACAAGAACCCAAGAGTAATCACTGTCTCATTCTAAGAGGCAAAAATGCAGACAGTTTTATGTTGTCTTTAGCATTTTTTTCATACAAGTTTTGAAAATAAACTAATTTTTCTAACATTTTTTCACAAAAATATTATTTCAAGTTAGAATAAATAATAGATTGGCTTCAGACTTTTTATTTAATTATATTCAGATAATTGTCATATTTAGCCAAATGGAGGCTTTTTATGATCCATTTTCAATCTCCCAGATTCTGGTCCATCTACTCCTAGCCATTTGGAATGACTTAGCAGTTGGCAGTTGGCATTTATAATATTGGAACTAGTCGGAACTATACTACAAATAAGCCAGATGATAAAGTTTGCTTGGTTTGAGATTAGTGACTATATATTTAGAGATAAAAATACCCAGAACAATGAGTTTGCTTTTTCTACAGTTTATACCAAACTAGATGGGTTCTTAAGCAGTCATCCTGGACTAGGTCTAGAGTGGCCAGACTGTGAATACAATGACTCTAAGCTGCCTTCCATGTGTGATTACACAGCTATATTAAGAAAACCCACTACTGGTAATGAAGTCAGCCAGAAGCCTGTCTGTTTTAAGAAACTATTGAAGGAAAGACACTCCCCAAAATGAAATTTTATGGAAATATAGAATGAACAATCCTGTTCAAGGCTACCAAAATTATTTTGTACATGCTGAGATGTTATTCATGCATTTGTAGACTATGTGCAAATGCTTCATTTACTTTATTTTTTGAATTTCATTCTGTTACATTGCAAAAGAAGCTATAGTTATAATATATCGCAAAGCATATCTATCTTTGGTTCTATGTTTCAGAAATTTTTTCCCCCAAAAAATAAGCATGGCAGGAAACAATAATTCAACTATCTTAAGAGACAATCTAATATTTAAAAAATTTAAGCAAAAAATATATTGATGTTTCCTGCAGACTTTTTTCTAGTTATCTTGCTTAATATCTAACACCAGTGCAATTTCAATATTAAAATAATTGTGCACACTCTATTTAACTTTTCAGAATGACACAAAAATGTCATTAAACAAAATAGCACTTTCCCCTGTAAGCCATTTGGGAATTATCCATTCTAAAAACATACTGGAAAGTAGAATTGCTTTCTTTTAAAATAATACAAGATCAACATGAAAGTAAATATTTCAGTAGAATTGCAGAAATATGTCAACTTTTAAAACTGTCTTTAAGAAACACAAGGAAAGGAAATAAAGATGTAACAATAGCCACAGATCCTAGAGATCGCCAAAAAAAGTGAACACATTACTCAATCTCTCCCATTTTCAGAAAATGTTTACATGCTATAAAGACTTGTTCAGAGATTTTTTAAAACTAAAATCTAGTAAAGCTTTCTTTTATAGTTTCAACTCAGAATATTTAACGAGCCTCATTTGTTACCGGTTTCCGTCTCTTTTCAAATATGATTTTTGCATCAAATAATTCTCTTTCTCTGTAGCCTAGAGATGGTCCTTTTAGATATTTTGCTTCAGCTGCCTTGTAATCTAACCCATCAACGGCAGAAATTGAACAAATAATTGCCTCTGGCAGAAGAACTTCTAGGATAAATTTAATTTTGTCATCTTTTATCAGAGTCAGCATTCTTTCATCTATTTGTTTGTAGATTTCTTGTAAATATTTTACCACTTCATCCAACTGATCTTCATCCTCTAAGTATGTTTCAATGCAAGGTGTGAACCTATTTGCATTCAAAAATGATTTCAGCCATCTGGATCCTTTTGTGCCTTTTAAAATGCCCAAAAGATGATTCTCAGCTCCCTTTGCATTTACAATGAAGTCCACTATGTTCTTGTTGGCTCGGTCCCGAGCAGACTTCATTCGGTCAGGGAGAGTTTTCTGGAAGGCCACTTTTTTGGCCTGGGAAGTCACAACCATTGGTTCCACAGTATCTTCATCATGTAGCTTTGGAAATAAGTTCCTAAAAGTATCCTGTTTGATTGCTTTTCTAATTGGATAACTAATGTCAGCAGCATAATATTCAAAGATAGAGCCTGCAAAAGAACCACAACCTATTCTAACTCTGTAGTCACAAATCAGTGAGATGCACCAGTCAATACTTTCACTATAATCCTCCCTGGCTTTATCTACTAGTTTTTGTTTCTCTTTACAATCGAAATTCTTTAATTTTCTAAAAGATACTCTAACACCTTTCTTTTCAGGATTCATGTTTGCTTCAATGAAAAGCACACTTGCTTTCCTCTCTTTGCGCCTGATGCTTTTTACCACTGCTGGCCAAAATGGATATTTTTTATATTGAAACCAGACTATCATTCCTGTTTCAAATGAACGTGGTTCATAATGAAAAAGTAATTGTGGAAGTTCTTCATCTTCTTCACTGTCATCCAATATAGAAGTATTAACACGATTTAGACACAATGCCTTGTCAGAAACAAGTCCTTCTTCCTCAAATTCATCAAAATCCAGTCTCTGAACATTTCTTCCACTATTCCTAAGAAGTGAATAATCAAAGACACAGTTAGAGGCATTAAATGAAACCTGGTGCTCCCATGAACAGCTCTTGGGGGATGTTGTGGCACCCATCTCTGATTCCATGGAAGGTTGATTCTGGCTGGTATCTAAGCATGGATTTGAGGGACCCTCTCCAGGATCTTCAACATTCTCTGAGAGGATAGAGCAGTCAGAGGAAACAGTTAGGGTCTTCGGGCAATCTTCTTCTTTTTCCTCTTTCAAAGTTTTGGGCTTAATATCTGATGGTAAAGATGAAGTAAACTTTTCATCTTTAACACATGTATCCTCCTTTTTGACTTTGAAATTCACGGACAAAACTGCTGCAATATCAATCTTTTTCTTGTTCTCTTTTTTATCATCATCTTCTGAAAGTGAAGGAAAATTTTGGCAGAGGTTGAAATTTTGTGATGGTTTTGTTTCCATTTCACTTGGAATAGTGCCAATGGTTGTATGTACCTGTGATTTATCATCACACAGGGAATCATCACTCTCTGAAGATATTAACAGTGATGTTGAGTTTTCATTTTCCTCAAGACACTCTGGTAAGTCCCCTTTGTACTTCTGATACTTTTTATGAGGTGGTGAATCAGGTGGTTTTTGTGGTACACTTTGAAATAGTGTAGTGGTCTTCTCTTTATCTGAAATGCTTGCTTCACTCAAATCTGTTCTTTCATTCAGAATATCCAGTGCCACTTTGAGTGATCTTTCATAGACAGTTTCCTCTGTGAGTGAAGCACTGACCTCTGATCGTAGTGAGGAGGCAATGGCTTCAATTTGTGATTTACTGAGGGTCTTTGTTTCTGTGGTGTCCACTTTAATTTTTTCATCTAGTGAAAGTATTTGAACTTCTAGGGAGAATGTCTTTTTTCTCTTATTATTTGATGACGTTTCAGATCTGGACAAAACTTTTGCTGGCCACAACTGGTCTTTCCAATTGCATAGGACATACTTGTCATCCATTATGATTTAGATTTGTGTAACAAAGTTTATTATCAGAGGTTGAAGTGTCTGGCTGTCTTTGTCACTGTTAAAGCAGGTCCTACCGAAACAAAACTCTTAACAAAGCCTCTTTTGTCTTAGGACCACCAAGGGTTTACAGCTTGTGTGGCCTGATCTCCTCCACCTCAATTTCCCAAGGATGCTTGAATATGTTATTTGAATAGGATGATACTGGAAAATACTGAAGTAGGGAAAAGGAGAAGAAGAAAAGTATTAGCAAATAAAATTATTTTGCAAAAATAGAATGTGAGCAATTGTAAATAGAGAAGAGATAAAATAAAAAAAAAACAATGCTCAGTGGGCATCAGAGGAAAAAATGCAGTATAATATAAGAGGGAATACAAACTGGTGATGTCATTTTATATTACCTCAAATTCAAGATCTTGCTCTTATTATTGCACATGCTTTTTAAGGAGTGAATGTGTGTACTTGTCAACACAGGTGGGGGAGAAAGCTTGTGGTAGCATGTCAGAAATTCTATTTCTGTTACCAGATACTCTGGTACTTTTGTACCCATAATGCTATATCTATGGCAGTGGGTCTCCAAACTTATCAGGCATCAGAATCATCTGGAGAACTGTTTTAAATTTCTAGGCCCCATACTGAAAGTTTCATTCAGAAGGTTTGGATTGAGCTCAAAATTTTGTATTTCTAAAAAGTTCTCAAGTGATTCTAATGTTACATATCCAAGAAGAAATCCTTGAAAAGTGGTATACTAGCTGAATATATACCTTTATCATTTTTAAGCTATAAGTGTCTCACTGTTCACCCAGAGCAGGCAAAGACAATAGGGACAGTATCTCCTGGACCCAGATAAATACACAATGACCTTATTAAAAGCATAAGCTTAGAAGACAGAAATTCACAATGGCTTCTATAACCACTTATTGGATAGGGTAGTTATCAAGGATTGGAGAGTCAGGCCATTGGCAGGTAGACACCTGTAATAGTCTCTTGCATGATTTCTTCATAATGGTTTAATCCATGAGATTCTTTCCCAAAACTAAAAGTACTGACCTTTAAATATAAAATTTTATCACTGCAGGCCAGGGAGCAAAATGAATTGTACTCCAAATTGAAAACCTAACATGATTTTATCATTAAAGTGGCTTTTAATTTAAAATGTCATGGTTGCAGAGCAAGAAGCAAAATACATTATTCCCTACATTCTCAACATGCTTTTACCATGAAATGTTTTGTGAATTGGTTGGAGTCTTACCTGCTGTCACATGGACTGTGGTGGGCCTGCCCAGCCCTGTGATCCAACTGTCTTGGATCACACCAAAAGCTTTACCCTGCTCAGCACTGCTGTGATTATACTGTCTTTCTGGGGCTCAACTGGCCATCACATGCAGACTGCCCAGGTCACGTGCTTCTTTTATTATTAACCTAGACTTTCAAAAAGGAAGGCAGAGAATCAAATCAACTAAATAGAAAAGCTGTAAAGAAATTTCACTACCAAAACTGTAATAGGCATGTCATTCTGAAACATAGAAATGAGGCAAAATCTCATCTGTGATATAGATTTGCTATGTTTATTTTTCTTCTTATTCTTATAATCTGAAATGCCCTCTAAAACACATATATGCTATTTGGTTCATATTGAAGGCATCTCTCTAGGAAAATATGAGGTAGAGACAAGACAGAAGGAAGGAAAAATTGCCTTATGTCTACTATAAGCCAGACTGTAGATTTGTTTGAATCTTCATCATGTGAATTTTTTCTTCTTTACACATACTTTTTTATTCAGTAGAATCACAATTACAAGGTACATGTTGTCTTATAGTCTATTAATACAAAATAGTTTTATTGCTTTTTTTTTTTTTTGCCTACTTCATAAAAATGATCACCTGGAGGAAAATGTAGACAATCTAGTAAATCTGGCAAGTGATGACAACCAGAACCAAAGCCTGCTCTTGAGTTAAAGGTAGGACCTCAATCACTACCAGATCCTTTTTTATGGGATAATGATTGGAACTACATTTAGCCAACCAGGTGCCTTCTCAAGCTTCTAGAATTATCTACGCTGAGTTTAAGGGTTTTTTAATGTGTGGGATTATAGCTACATGATACTGTCTTCAACTGCATGTTTTTGATTATGAAAATATTCAGAACATACTAAAAATTAAGAATATGTAGAAGGATATATGCAAAACAGTACAACTTTACAAATAACAAAATTGAATCTTTTCTATATATTTATAGAATTATTTTACATATATAGATAAATGTATATCATGCAAAACCAGCTTCAGACCCCACTCAAGAGTGTGGCTTGAATATCCCTGGAAATATTTTTCACATGATTTTTTAAAAAATTACTTTAAATTTGGTTTTTACAATTTTGTAACACTTGATTTCAATATTTTCCCTAAAGATGTAAAAAAAAAAAGTAAACAAATATATACAGTAATTCCTCTACATATGAATGAGTTCCATTCTGAGAGTGTGCTTGGAAGTTCAATTTGTTTATAAGTCCAGCAAAGTTAGACTGGGTACCCAACTAACACAATTGGCTATATAGTACTAGCTATATCACTACTGCTTTTATGCTTATTTTTGGATATCCTTGGTTTGAAATAAAGATACTGTACTACTGTACTTTATACAGTTCTGTAAAGTACACAAAAGTACAACCACTTGTAGAGGATGCATGGATATGACAATGTACACCTGACACATGAACTAACTTATATGACTGGACATACGAACACATGTTTACATCTTTGAAAATTTGCTACTTGAAGGTTCATGTGTAGGTGACTTAATGTATTAATAATTTTAAGACAAACAGTAAAGCCAGCCCCTGTCACTCCAACTATGCATATAATCCCATTAACACTTTCCAGATTTGATTGTATAAGGGGGGAACCAAAAAAAAAAAAACAAAAAAAAAACAGCGGAGTTTTTGCAGGGTGGGCCCTTTTAGTACAGCCTTCCCTTGCTAGGTAAGTGTTCAGGAATCCTTTGGCATCAGTGTACCAGCTGTGTTCTGCTTCAGTGAAATTTTTTTTTTTTGGAGATTCTTTCAACATGTTTGCCCATTTCATGATGGGTGATTTATGAGCACACTTGCTCACAATGTGCTGAGTGTTCAGCAGTTTTTGACCAAAACCGGCATGACCTCCAAGCTCCCAACCTCCCTGCTCACCTGATCTTATTCCTAGTGACTATTTTTTCCCAGATGAAAAAAGTTCTCAAAGCGAAACGTTTTGCTCATGTGGAAGAGGTGAAACAAACAAACAAAGGCAGAATCAGTAAAAGGCATCAAAATTGATGAGTGAAAAAAGTGTCTATAGGTGTATTGCATCAAATGGAGAGTTCTTTGAAGGTGGCTGAAGTTTAAACATATAAAAATAAATAATCAATTTTTAATTGAATTTTGTAGGTCCTCCCTCACACATATTGTAGTAACATACATTGATATACTAACATACATTTTTATTCTTAAGTGAGATCATATGATATGTGCTATTCTGTAATTTTTTTTACCTTATACTATTTCTCAAACATTTTCAAATCAATACATGTAGAAGTTTATTTTTCTATTCACCTGAAACACAAAGTACTCCAAGGATGTACCATGCCATGACCTTAAAAACTGCTTCTAGAAATAAAATCCTCTTGTTGTCTTACTCTTAAATTTAGATGATACATAAAAATATTTCTTGCCAAACATGGCCATATCTGTGGTCTGAAAAAATGAACTGTGAAGAGGACACATGCAAGAAATTGTAGTTGATACAGCAAGCATGCTACCTACTTGATTTGGTCCAGAAAAATTTCCACTATTAACAAAAGACAAGGGAGGTATGGAAGAGAGTCTGTGAGTGCCTATGTGTGTTTATGCATCTGAAACAAAATGAGTATGCTGTTTCAGCTTCATTTTTCCTTCATGATTATAAAAATAATCATTGGGAAATCTAAAGATGTTGAAATAGGTTAAAAATAATATTAAAATAGCACCTTGACCACACAGAAACACTCACTGTTATCACAGGAGTTTATTTTCTTCCATATTTTAAAAAATCACACAAATATACATGCATGCACAATGTGAAAATATTTTCACAACTACATACTTAATCACTTGCCCATGCTCATGTACATGTGACACATATAGTCTTATTACATACCAGTCAACTTAGGGGCATCCTCCCCATGTTGTCAAATACTTGTAACAGTTATTTTTCTGTGTAAATTAATACATGTTTAAAAATACAAACAATAACAGACTGTATAGCTATGTAAATATAGAATGCTAATTCAATAAATTAGCATGAATGACCATGCTGCACTGAAGCCTTAATTTGGAGGCTGTAATCTGATCACCCCTTTCTCCCACTGTAGACTTATAAAGCTTAGAAGATAAAAAATTCCAGATTATTCTTGCAAAACACCAGGAATTCCTCAAAGCCACACACCATTCCCACCACTACAAGAATGCTGTTCCTGGTTTTCTCATCTTCAATCTAGGGCCTTGAGAACTCACTAGAAAATAACTATATTTAAAATAGCCATTACCTTGAAGCTTCTTGTCAGCTTCAGTTTGGTAAAAGGCAGTTTCTCCCCCAAATCTGGTCAGACACAGCTCTTTTCCATATCACTCAGCCCCTGGCTGTGAAGAGGAACAGAAGGCCCCTCCCAGAATTAGAGGAAGGGTAACTGCAAAGGGAAACTGCTGAAGTGTTAAAAGTGGAGGAACACTCTTAAAAAAAACTTTAAAGTGAAATGGTGACTAGTGTGTTTAACTTCTATTCAAATTCTCAGGGTGCATTATCTCTTGAAGAAAGGACACATCTTTAAGCCAGTATGTCCACTGGGGCTCTAACATTAGAGTATGTAATGCTTTGTGCTATAAACAACCCCTACATTTCAGGAGTTCAATCCCCCAAAAGTTTATTTTGCTGATGTCAAAGTTCAGGGTAGGTCATCATGTGGCCAGAAAGGGGCAAGGTTCTTTGTTCCAAGCAGTCATTGAAGGACCCAATTTCTTCCATCCTATGACTATCCTCTTCTTAAGCCCTGAAATCCTTCACTGTATTTTTTTTGCATGTGGCTTGCTGTCTAAAGAAGAGGGAGAATTGAGAGTCCTATGGAAGGTTTTAGGAGTCAGATCTGGCAAACATCATTTCTGCCCAGAGTTTACTAGCCAAGACTTGGGTGTGAAGTCTCAACTAC